AAAATATTTCAGCTCGTCACTCAGCAAAGGGTTTTGAAATACGGTCTTCTCTTTAGACGAGGTGTTTCTCGCAGTCGATGAAAATAACAAATCTGCTGTGAATTTCAAGGTGTCAATTCAAATGGCCAAGCAAGACTCACATTACACCTGACAATTAGTTCACTAGTTGCAAGGCTCCGTTGATCTCGACTCGGCCAATATGGCGGCGAAGAAAGCGAAATCGGTTGCAGAAGAAGAGGAGAATGAAACGCTTTAGGTTTAGGGATCTTTTTAAAAAAAAGAGAAGCCAGGATGATTTTTCCTTGCCAACTTGAGTCCAAGCTTCTGCTTATTTGTTTTTATCTTTGAAATCTTTACACTCCTGGTCATATAAGACTCGATAGTTGCGAACAACTATGAAACACTTTTTACCAAAGACTACAGCGACGACCTCCGCCATTTTTTTCAAAGGCTCAGACGTGGGCAAAAGTTGAGCGAGTGCTATAATTATCCAGACATAGCAAACTGTAGTAGACTTCCTTGTGCTTCTGCGGCATTTTCTTTTCACTCGGGACAAGCGTTCGTAAGCACAACAAAAGCAAAAGAAAATGAAAAATGTTTTTATCCCGTTGTGCTTGCGCTTTCGCTTGTATTTATGCTTACGTCGAGGCCGTTTTCACGGTGTGATAAGAGGTGTTGTACTTGCGTTTGTGCTTGCGTCGCTAGTGAAACCAGGCTTTTCGAGCACCAAGACGGCGAATGCAACATGACGCTAAAAAATTAAGGAAAGGCAAAGCTGACCTTTTCTCTCTTTTTTGTTTATTTGTATAGGTGGCCTGAATAGTTCTGTTATTCTTACCAGCCTCGACTACAAAAACTACACAGAAAAGCTGCTTTCTTACCTAGAGCCAGTCCTCCTTAGTTTAAAGCGAAGCAGGTTTGTGAGGTGTTGGCACGCTAAGACAGATGGCTGGGCGGCATCGACATTCCACAGCAACTGCGATGGGAGGGGACCCACGTTAACAATCATCAAAGCTGTTAACTCCATTTTTGGTGGCTACACTGATGTATCATGGAGCAGTAAGTACATCTTGCCCGTGTAGCTTTTTTCGGTGTAGCGTTTTAAGGATTTAGAAAGGCAAGGAAATAACGTAGTAAGAATGGATCAAGCTTGGTGCCTATAGCAGACAAAATTTCTCCCGAAGCCCATTTCTTGAGATTCTTCCACCTGGAGATTGACGTGTCATGGTGACTAAGCAGAAAGCAAGTTTTATAATAAACATATATATATCCTTGCTTCATTGTACTGTAGCATTTTTTAAATTTAGGATCGAAATATATTCTCTCGAAATCAAATATTCTCTTTCTTTACTGCATTTATTGAGTGTCGCAAAACCAAAACCAAGTTCATTTTTATTCAACTGCCCGTTTAAAGAACGGGCCAATCAAAACAAAGGATAAAAAGAAATCTGCCCGAGGCGCGAGAAAAACGCGATATACGAAGTCACGATTGGTTTAAGATTTTTCTCTCATCAGACAAAAACGACGCTGTGAGCTTTCTCCGCCAATCATTGAACGGCGTTGTGAATATGAAGTACTTAATTTGTATTGTTTGCAAGGCTAATGGCATTTGTAGTGGAAATGTGTTAAAAGTTTTTCAGTCAGTTCTGCAGGCACATAGCATGTGTTTTAACTTGTCGGCAATAGTTTCTTGGCCTTTAGGTTGGCTTGATTCGTTTGAGAACACAATGAGTGATTTTATTGAGCTCCACGGTTACCGCAGGAGGTTCCAACGTCTAACAACGCCAAAGGATACAATCCTGTGAAGCTGACACTTTTACTCCCTTTTCTTAGAGTAATCACTCAACCTCGCGGGCTTGGAATGAATTTTTTATCGGATATAATATTTTCGAAGCCTTATTCACGTGGCTGGATTTTTTTTTCAGCTCTCGAAACCATTTTTAATTTTTTAAATATGTGCCTACATCTGAAGAAAGTAACAGATAACTTTGGGTTATGTTACATTTGGCCATTTTGAAAAAGACTGAGTTAAATTTCGGGCCTGGGAATGATTATAAAAATTTTAAAACAAATATCACCAGGAGCCAATTAATGGGCTTTAGATGTCTCCCAATAATTTTCCATGTCCATAAAAGCATTTTGTACCAATTCTATGCCCAACTTTGTAAAATCTCTCCCCTCGCTAGCAAACATCTAGCCTGGAAAAACTCCCCGTCTAGTCTATGATGGGAAATGAACCCCCCTCCCCTCAAGGGGTTTATGTTTTCTTCCAACGCCCGACTACATTATTCTTCTATTCCAGCTGGTTCTTGCACAGGTTATTCTTCCTCCAGTAAAGCATTGATCGTCTCACTCAATAACGTGAACCCTAACCCTCCCTGAGGTGACAAATAGTGACCAGTCCCTAACTCTTTTCATTCTTAGGTCCCTGTGGTTATTCTTCAGCCAGCAAGGCTTTTGTTTTCTCTCTTTACAACGCCAAAGGATACAATCCTGTGAAGCTGACACAATACAGGTACCAGCAAAACGCCATGTACAGATGTTCCTCCTATGGACCCACTTTTGGTGGGCATGACATCTACGTATCAAATGACGCAGGGAACAATCAAAACTCTTCTACTTCTTGCGGCTCCACGTACTCCAAACCCCCGGGCTATTCGAATGGATACTGTGGATTTTTTACAGGAGCACGTTATTTTACTCCATCTGACATTGAAGTTTTGTTCGAAATAGGTAAATTATTGTTAAAAAAAAACACTATTAAAACCTGTCGCTAATATACGATAAACATACCTAAACTCTAATCCGAAGCATGGTTCAGCGATTCTAAGAGCGCATGCGCTGAACCATATACAGCAGCGAAATACTATTCAGGTTATTGTGGCAACTGTGACAAACGAATTATATCTCAATTCCCGACTATCAGTGCATATCAACTAAATCAGGGGAAAAAATGCATATTTTTTGCAGTTGCCATTGAATTGAATCAATGAGTCGGGTCAAGTCTAGTCTCCCTCGCAGCCGTTTTTTTGGATGTCACGCAATGCTACTCCAAAAGAACGGCTGCTGACAACCGAACTACATTCCTTTCTCCGATTTGGCCAATCACAGCTCGGGTTCCATTTTCAGGAACCTGTTCGCGCCAGACTCACCTTTTGAGACTCGTCCAATCATATATCGTTTTCTATCGCGATCCTTATGTGGAAAACACAAAACAAATGGCGGTGCTTGAAGGAGCTTTTCGCAAAGCGTCGTCAAAGTTCAAAACTTTCGAGCTTAATGCTCACCAGAAGCTTGCAATTAGAAAAGTTTTAGTCGAGAAAGAAGATGTTTTTGTTAAGCTGCCTACAGGATCCGGGAAATCGTTGATATATCAAGCACTCCCGCTCGTGTTTGACCATGTTACCGATGAAAGTGGTCATATTATTGTTATTGTTGTTGCGTCGTACCAACGTGCGGAAACACTCGATAATTCGGGCCGATTTCCTGTACCGGTGATAAGAAGCCACGAACATAACTAATCGGGTTCACTCCAGCTAGCAGCAGACTGGCAAATGAAGAAGTACAAGTAGTGTAGGGGACGTTGGCCGACCTAAATTGCAGTGTTCTCGAAGCCTTCGCCCGGTTTGTTGACGGCAAGCACGCGCTTTTTTCCTCCTGATCTCCATCTGTAGGTCGAAGCAAGCGTTTAGCCTTTGGCCTCGATTGAAAGGCGTCTTGTATTTCGTTTTGATTATT